TATAATACACCACCTATTGATCTCCTGGACATCGAACACACGTCGGTGTGTACGAGGTCTAGGATGTTTTTTCTCCTTATGGGCGGAGAAGATCTTTAGAAAGTGACTCTGTGTTATTTTCCAGCTAAACAGTGACCACAAGGATCAAGTGGTTTACCTTTTACGTTAGGTAGGAGTTGTTTTCGAGCAAGTATGTGAAAACCCTTCTCGCTGATGTGTCCAAGTCGTTTATGCCATATCTCCACATCTTCAGTGGTGATGTTTACTTCTCCTTTGCAGAGCTTATCTTGTATCACGTACAATGACCCTTCTTTCTTTCCTCTAGTCATTATTAGGCTTCCTTTGGTGAGCTTCCACTTTCCTTCTCCAAGGTAATTTACCAGACCAACATCATCTAGCTTCCTAGCAGAGATAAGATTGAGGCGCATGGCCGGAACATGCCTCACAGTTTTTAAAATAAGCTTACATCTAGTTCTTATCGTCAGGATGATATCTCCTATCCCGACGATCTTGCTCCTATCTTGACTTCCCATTTGCACCGTACCAAAATCATCGCTTCGGTAGGAATGAGAAGAAACTTCCATGTGGAGTAACATGGAATGGAGCACCATAATCGACAATCCAAGAGCTATCATCATAAACAATGTTTAGGATATTACCTTCATCAACGAGATATAGCAGATCTTCTTTTGATACTATAACAGTAATACTATTCTCTTCTTGCTTCTTCGTTGGGCTGATTTGGTCTGGCTTAACATTATCGGCCTTCTGGTCTCTCTTGAAGGATCGACGTTCCATTTTCTTGTGGCCCATCCTTCTACAGTAATAGCATGTAATCTTCGAGCGTGACTTGGATCTACCTCAAGATTGATGCGGATCTCAGCTTTTGTTGCATCCACGAGTTTCATTCCTACCCCGATTCTCAATAATATTAGCTTCAGGATAAATATACTCACCTCGTTCAATTCTCCTTGCTTCTTCACCGAGAAGGCTATCACTAACGGTATCCATGGTGAGCTTTTCTTCCGGAACTGAATTACTAAGTGTAACAACGAGTGTATCCCAACTTTCTGGTAAGGAACTAAGAAGTATAGGGCTTACAACTCATCATCAATTTTCATCTCAATTTTTTTAATTGATTTACGAGCTCCTTGAAATTATTTAAGTGCTCAATCATACTTTGATCCTTATACTCCAACTTCACCAACTGTCGAACTAAATTGGCTTTGTTACGAGGTGTTTTCATTTGAATCATGGACTCAAGCTTTGTCCATAATTCATAAGCATTTGTATAAGTAGAAATATGCTCAAAGAGGGTTTTATCAATGTACTTACGGATCATAACAACGGTCTTCCAATTTAGTAGCTCCCATTGAGCATCACTCTTGCCTTCTACATTGTCTTTGTAGATGATGGGCTCATGAAAATCCTTGTAGTACAGGTGGTCCTCCATCATCAGCTTCCAATATGAGTAGTACGTTATCCTCCATATTGAACTGCACGAGCTAATTACGGCTACGGATGAACCTGACTCTGATATCACTGTTGGGAATCATGGTTTTTCCCACTTCGTGAAGTTAAGATAGGCACTTAGAGATTAAGGATAGTAAAGAGAGCACAAGATTATACTTTTCCAATTTAGAGATTATTCCACTATACAAAAGAATAATAGGATTACAAGGATGTGTTCACAAAATTTGACTCACACTCGGTGGCTCACTCAGGCTTGAGGATAAAGACTTCCCAAGCTATCTCTCTCAAAGAGGATCTCTAACTCTCTAGTTTCTCACTCTAAGAAGTGGACTCTCTTAGTGTTTTTGGAACTCTTGGATGGTTAGGAATGAAGTCTCTCACCTCTATTTATACTACTCCACCTCCACAATGAATGGTGGAGATTAATCATCTAGAATGCTCCATACACTCTAGGAAGCTCTACACTCTTCCACTCCCTTCCATATTTTTCCATAAGGTTCCACACATCTCCATAATATTCCAGAGGATTTCACACTCTTCCACAATCTTCCAGAGAGTTATACACTTCTTTAGAGTTCTCTGGAATGTTCTAGAAAATTCTATACTTCTCCAGAAAGCTCTAGAATTTTCTAGAACCCCTCTAATTAAGGAGATATCCAACAAAAAAATGGTGGGGGGGGGGAGCTTGCAAACTATATAGTAAGTTAAACAATGATAGTATTGATGCGAAATATAACATATAGAAGCCTACAAATGAACAAGTGATTGGTCAAGAATAACAGATCTCAGCTTCAACTCCCCATCCCATCCATCGTTATACATGCAGACATTTTAAACAAGTAAATTGGGGGAAATAATAATTATATATACACATGTATATATGTATAAAGTGAGTATGTAGGACTCTTTCGGAGTAAAAGCCAAGACCTATCTCCTTTCTAAACTTGGAACTTCCTTTTCAGTTCTTGTTTTGAAAGATATGCACTAAAATAACCAACTTTTCATTGATTTGGACTAATATTATTAAGCATAAAATTTTTAATATATTTCAGTCAACTTTTATATATTTATTTTGAATTAGAATATTAATTTATTGATAAATACAACGAGAATTAATACTTTATCTTATAAGAACGGGGTAAAGAGTTCTAACAGAGTAATAATGGTGGTGATGAGTCAAATGCATTGGATTTGGATGTGAGGTCAGAAGAAACCCTCTTTGTTGGAGATGATAGTAAATTACACTTTTATCTTTTGAGTCATGTCTTTATACGAAGGGTTAAGTTTATATCAATTTGAGTATGATCTTATATAATAATAAATTTGATCTCAATCTGAGTTTAAAATCTTTTTATACTCATCATAAACTCTGATCCTATAATTATCCATGTGAAATCATGATTTCATCTCATGGATAACTGAAAAAACTGTAAAAAGAAAATTGATGATAATTATCCATGATCAAGTTTCTCATGTATCATTTTCAATTGATATATGGAGTAGTATTTTGAAAATTGTTCGAATTTTGTTTTTAATGATTTTAAAATCCTAAAAAAATAATCTAAGAATATTAGAGAGCGTAGGGTGATTAGATTAAGGTTTGGCTTATTTTTAAACGGCAAGTGATTGAACATTGGATATCGAGAACACGTCGTCCTGAAGTATGGAATGATTGTTTGTTTACATCAATATAGTATACAATATGTTGTTGGTTTGGGGGTTTAAATTAATTTAATACAAAATTATGAAATCCAACACCATGGCATGTGCTGGTTCCACTGCGGCCTTTGCATAATTATATATATATATATATATGGATTGGTAGTGAGTGCAGAAATAATGGAGGTCATCATCTTTGCTAAATGCTTTTACTTGTTGGATTCATTGGAAACAATTATAATAATTGCATGCACTTTCAACTTAATGGTGATGGTGCTCAGATTTGATGGTCTCCAATGGCCATGGTGCTGCTATTTTGGTTGCCAGCCAAGAGACAATATTATTTCTAATAGCAATAGCAATGTTGCCAGAAAATTGAACAGTGATGTACATTGTTTCTTTATCTTTTACCCCTCATATCATGAAAAAAAAAAGATACCTTTTAAGTAATGTCTAACGCTGAATTAAATTTTTGTTGGGAAAAAAAGAGAGCAGCCAATGCCATTCCTTTTATTCCTTCAAGGAGGATCCGGTTTTGAACCCCTGACCAATTGAAGGTGGTGGATCGGCTTATATTGATGGATCAGACCAGGTTTTCACTGAATGATGTTTCTTATGAAACTGTTTGTACTTTGAGTCCTTGATGTTTTCCACTTTCTATCACAGGGAGGAACAATTTCTCACCTACAAGTACTTCACAATTATCCCAGATTTTTCAAGTCATTATTTGACTCAAAATTTATTGCACACTGCTCTCATAGATTATTGGGGCTGTTGATCGAAGTCGGCCCAACGAAAGACGGATAGGGAATGAAGTTCTAAAATTTTAAAATGGTAAGGGACGAAAATAGATTTTTATTACTACAAAATGTTACTAAACTTTTTTTTGAGAAAAAAATGAGCACAAGTGTTGTTTTCGATTCAAGCGATGCTTGCAATGAATCTGTTGAAACAATTAATTACCAGACTCCTCCTTTGAAATCAGAATAGGAATAATTATTTGGTACCAAATTATGTTTACAGTAAAATAGAAAGAACAGAAACTGAGACTGCCATGGCCTTAATGACATAATACATCATTATGGCGTCCTATACAAATATTTTCCATTTTTGGTGCAGGAAATTAAGTTCCCAGTTGGCATTAGCCATTAGTGACATCTTTACGTACAATAATTGATCGTCAACCCCAGTCCAAAGATTGTTGATTGGCGAAAACAACAATTGGAATTCAGGTTGAGAAAATAATTTAATGGGGTTGAAGAGAAATTCATGTGTGAGAGATGACTGAGGTGGCGTTAATTCATTTGTTAATAGTGTATTAGATATATATATATTTTTATAAGATGAAGGAATATGAATGTGTAAAGATCAAATTCAAAATTATGTTAAATATTTTATCACTTTCTTGGTTAAGTTGTCAAATATGAATCTATCATATATAAAATATTCATGGCAACTAGTTGCTATAAGGAATAGGTATTTAATGGTACAGGCTCAAACTAGACTTAAAAGTTGAATTAAAAAAATTGATTTTATTCACATATAATATTTAAAAATGTCTATTAATAATTATACAAAATAATATTTTAATGTAGTTTCTTTTTTATGACATTGTTGTACATACCACTCGTAATAAAAGTAGATTTTAAGAAATTAAATAGAACAAAATGAATTAAAGGGAATGGTAAAGAAGTAAATGTAGGAGGGAGTAAGGGGCAAACTGTGGAGAAGAAGAGACGCATATTAAAAGATTGGAATTGAAACGGCGCGGAGTCTGTCGTTTACCGATGTCTTCACTTAAAACCTCCGTCTCAGTCTCAGATAATTCAGTTTCATCACAACGCTAAGCCTAACACCCTCAGTTTCCTAATATCTTCTCCGCCTTTACTTACCACTTCCCACTTCCTTGGAATTTTCATGTCCAGTTTTTGTCTTAGGAAACATCTCAACCCTAGCTTTGCTGTCAGTTATTATTTGATGTAATAAATCCTTTTTATGGTACGGCAATATTCAAGTGAATTTAATTAGCTTTTGCTTACTAATTCAAACGTTTCTTCTTCTTCTCTTTGGTTCATTACTTTCTAGGGAGCTAAATGGAAGATGTGACCAAGGAAAAATCTGCTTCCAACACTTTTTTTGTTAAGAAAAATCAGCTCCAAGGTTCATTCACTTTATATATGTAGTTAAGAGTAATCTTGTCTCTTTGGGTGTTCAAATCCCCTTTAGGTTGCTTGTTTTCAAGGTAAAAGAAGAAGAAAGCTTGGTGTTGTAAACTGTAAAGCTTGTTTCCCATGGTATAAAATGAAGTCCCTTATACAGCTTGTTTTGGGATTAAAGAGAGCTGATCTAAGGTCTCCATCCGTTTAAATGAGCTGAAAAATACAGATATAAAAGGTTTTAACTTTTTAATTTTCCTGGATTTAATTGGAGATGGGAATTTATACGGCAGTGACATTTATTGAGAAGCCAATATTAGTATCTCAGGAGCTCTAATTTGTTGTCGTTGCAGGTAACCGATCTGTTTAGAAGTGAAGCTAATTTCTTCAAAGCAGCTGTGGAAGATTTGCAGATCTGTTGTGTAGCTTTGGATTCTATAAAACATCTGTCTTCACTTCAATCAGTCAAGGGAAACCAAAACAAGAGAGGGAAAGGGGGGAAATAATCAAAATAAGTGTATTCGACTCCTCTAACAACAACCAGCCAACCAACGTTGTTCAAAGTGAGCATAAACCCTTTTTTCTTCTTCTTTGGTTTTTTGAAAAAAAGAGTTTTTATCCTTTGTTGGTAATTCCAGAAACAGCTCTGAACTTGTTGGTAATTCCAGAAACACCTGATTTATTAATTGGAGGGTGTCATTTATTAGTCCTTTTATTAGGATAAACATTAATGATGATGTTGGTGTCTGCCATTTTTAGAGTCAGCTGCAAAAAAGAAAGGGTTTTTAATAATTCAAGGAAGAGAAAGTAGGGGGGGGGGGGTAAAGGCCTGGCTTCAGATCGGCATCTAACATACAGCAATCAATTATTGCTTCTTTTCTTTAGCTTAACTGTGAAGCATAAAAAGATGGTTTCTTTCTCAGATTCAAGGTAATATTATAGCGGCAAGGAGAGCTTTCTGCTTCAATTTCTACTAAACGTATTTATCATTTTTGGAAAGAAAAAAAAGACTTTAAGTTTTGTTTTTCTCTTTTAGTTCCTTAAGTACGTATAAACAACAAAATGACAGATAAATCTCTCAGCTCAAGGTTTCAGGCCTTTAGATTTCAACCAGCGTGTGTGCTTTGCGATGGCAAATGAGTTTGTAAAATGCGTATTTTGAATCATCAGATAATTATTTTCCCTTTATCTAAAATTCTTAACTTTTCGTTTCTTTTTGATGCAGATTGTGGCTTCCATTTTCAGGCAATGCTTTTGAAAGCACAGAAGCTGCAAAAAGTTTAAACGAGAAGGGGGGAAGGCTAGCCTCCTGACTAGGACCGCGATATATCAAAGCGTAAAGAAAAGTCTTTTTGCACTGTTCATAGAGCTGAACTACTGTCTGTGTAATCGTCATCAATGCATAGGACATTTCAGCTTCAGCCCCACCTGCATTTGGTCGCTTAAACATTTTTCCAAAAATCCCAGATTTCCTTTCTCCCTTTCCGAGCGAAACAAACAATATAAGAAAAGTTAAGAGGGGGTTTGTGAGAAAGGAATGAAAGTGGAATGGAGGTAGATGAGATTCAGACACAAGCTTCTAAGTTCTCAAGAATTGACAATGGTGGGAGAAGTGAGTCAAGCAAGATAGGTCAGAAAGGCAGTGACAACTACACTGATGATAAAGAAGATAGAGCGCTCATCAAAAGGGCTAGTGCAAATTATGGTGGAATTGATGGTCTAGGCGATGTTAACAGGCTTCGAGGTTGGCACCATTCCTCGAGAATTATTAGGGTTTCTCGAGCCTCCGGCGGAAAAGATCGGCACAGCAAGGTCTGGACTTCAAAAGGGTTAAGAGACAGGAGGGTGAGGTTATCTGTCACCACAGCTATACAGTTTTATGATCTACAAGATCGGTTGGGGTATGATCAGCCTAGTAAAGCAATAGAGTGGCTAATTAAAACAGCCGCTGATGCAATTGCGGAGCTTCCTTCACTTAACACTTCCTTTTCTGATACCCCAAAGCAATTAAGTGATGAGAAAAGAGCAAGTGGGGGAACTGAACAAGGGTTTGACTCGGCTGATGTCGAGTTAAATGGTGAACCAAATAACTACCAACAAAACCAAAGTCAGCAGCACCTTTCTTTGTCCAAATCAGCTTGCAGTAGCACGTCTGAGACTAGTAAGAACTCGGATTTATCCCTTCCGCGGTCCGAGATCCGCGTGAACTGTGTAAAGGCCCGGGAACGGGCAAGGGAAAGAGCAGCAAAAGAAAAGGAGAAAGAGCAAAAGTCACCCATTCCTCATCAACAAAATGTGAACCCCATTTCTCAAAACTCTTCCTTCACCGAGTTACTCACCTCCGGCATCGTCAGTGTCTGCAACAATGGCACTAATCCTACAGCTTCAGCTCATCAAAACCCCAGGCTGTGGTCTGTCACTCAAATGGATTACTTCACAACGGGGCTCCTCGGACCTTCTTCTTCTTCTAGAAATCATTCTGCAGGTTTTCCTGGACAAATCCAACAAGGAAACCCTTTTCCCCAACAAATATTAATACCACCATTCACCGAGTCGGGTGAAAACCATCAAGAATTGCAGCATTTTTCGTTAGTTCCCAATACTGATCATCTGATCCCGGTGGCAGCAACACAAGCGGTGCCAGGGGGTGACTACAATCTCAACTTCACAATATCTTCAGGCCTTGCTGGTTACAATAGGGGGACCCTTCAGTCCAATTCTCCTTCCTTTTTCCGTCATCACCTCGAGAGGTATTCTTCCATAGACGGATCACCACCCTTCTACATTGGCACACCACCGGTGGAGAACCATCACCACCAGTTCCCAGCTGGACTAGACGGCCGCTTGCAGCTCAGCTACGGGGATGGAAGCAGGAGCTCAGATCAGAAAGGAAAAGGAAAGAACTAACCAGTTTACTGGAAACGTTCCATCTTGCTCCATATTTCCCTGGTAAGCACAACACTCAACTGGCATTCAACACCATACTTTAATAGAAGTTCTTTACGTTAGTATTTGACATTCAAACCTATCTTCCTTGCAGTTTTCGTAATTAGGTTCATTATTTTTGTGCCTGTTTAACTAATTATTTTTTCTTGCATAGTACCATGAACCAGACAATTTATTGGTTTCTGAAAAGAAATCAGGCATTGGGGACAGTATTATATTTGTGTTTTGCCATGATTCTTGCATAGGTTGTAGTGACTAAGAATCGGCTGGTTGTCTCCTTGTCTGTTGTGTTCTTCCTTGTTCCCTTCTCCCTGGCATATAAGAACCTATGCCAGGTGTTAGTTTCTTGGTGGCCAGGCCTTACTGGACACTTAATTAGAACCATTAAAGTTTACATTTCAAATAGGGTGCGACTTTGTTAACCTCAACTGCACCACATGGCAATGGATCGGGCCAGAATGTCAGGTTTTTTACAAGTTAAAGTTTCTAGTGATAAACGGTAAACTACATCTGGAAAAAAAAAAAGGAAATCTCCATGCACATAAGGCCTGGAGCTCTCAAACTTCAAGACCAAGGGTTACTTCCAAGGTAATTGTTTTTTCTAGGTTTAGCAAGGATAAGGCCAGCTTTTAATATATTTATATATTATTGAAAATGAGCTGTCAGTTGTCACTCTTCTTATAGTGAAATTTGCTAAAATATGGAAACAAAAATAATTAAAGCAGTGAGCTTAATAGGATAAAAAATGATAATTTGCTTCATTTGACATCACTATATATATTCAATATAAGGTCTAATTAAATTTGTATGATCTCACAATTAACATCCAATCAAAATCAATAATGACCAGAAAGATCAATGATAAGAACTAATTATGAAATTTTCATAATGTTATAAGTAATATAGGACAACAGCCATAAGTTTCATATTGAAAAAGAAAATGCCATTAACAATGAACCTTTCTAAATAGGCTTATAGTAGAACTTAGAACTCACGACATGCACAATTGAGAAAGAAATCGGAAATTGTGAAATGTTTGAGTTGTGGTGATTATTAACGTAGAAATATAAGTTGTGCTAGTTGGTTTTATTCAAGAATCTAAATATATTCTCTCCAAAAAAAAATCTAACTATATCAATACGTAAAATGCATTCATGTCTTATCAAATAAAATTTTAAGACCTATGATTACTTTCAAGTTATAGTTATCTTACATTTTATTTTCTCCAAAATATTGGTATCGAATATACATGTTTGTATGATATTTAATCTTTAACTTAGATATATAAAAAAACTTAAAATAATTAAATATAGTTGTATTGGATCATATCCATATTCAATATTTATTTCAAATTTAAGAGACTTAATTTATTACAGATTATCTGTAGATTTTTTTATGATACTACTAAAGATTTAAGTGTAAACTATTTGAATAAAATGTAAAATACTACTCGTATTAGTAGCAGGTTTGAATGAAGATGATGATAGAATTAAACTTAAGATAGTTGAGCTACTGCATTTTATTTCTACGGCACACCCATAGTTCCCATAAGTTAATGCATTAAAACAATACAATGCACTCCTACTTACATTGGATGTCATAAAATAGCTCTGCAAGTAAACAATAGTGGGATAAAAGGATTTTGAAAACAAGTATAATTTTTTATTTTAAAATATTAATTGCGACTTCTAAAAAAGTTATGCTGATGAATTCTTTAAATTGTTCCCACCATTGGCTCTCATTATTCAAGAAAGAGAGGTTACTCCTGCTGAGAATCTTTATAAAGGCAACCTATAGTTCACTTCTAGCTAGGGTTTATTTTTCAAAATGTAAAATAACGATGCTTTAAACTGAGGTTAGGATATTTAGCTTGCATGCCTCATGCTCTTGATGATTTAGAACTTAACAGCTTAAGATTGGCTATTTTTTTTTTGTAAGGAGAAAGAAAAGAAGTGATGTTCTATCTTGAAATAGAAGAAGACCATAGATATAGATTCCCTTTGGGTGTTGTGTGTTTGTAGCTTTGAACAAGATTTTAGGCTTTTCTGTAGGGCCTTAAAATCTAACTGGATTTTGGGCAAATATGTTTCTACCTTTCTTGATGATAGTATGCATACAGCAAAGACTATGGCTCTAGATTTCACCCTCAGAATTTATTGTTCTGCCAAAGCTAAAATTATTGGGAAAATAGAACTTGTTAGTGTCGATTATTGAAGAATTCCGAAATGTAACCATCAGCTTTTCATTCAGGCATTGCTTATGTTTAGAAAAGAGAAGATGGAAGCAGTGAGTGTATGGCTTTCCTTCCCCTGCATTTTGAAGTCATGATCGCTGCTGCCATTGGCGTATTGGGATATAATTAATTTATCCATGACTACAAAAAACCTTGTGTTTCCAACTAAACAATTTGATTCAACTTCGTTTCCCAATAATCTGAAAATTGTATATATATCTGCTTCTGCCTCTTCACAACACCAAACCTCATTTTCTTGTGCCAAGATACCTCCCGTGTTTTCAGAAATAAAAAAATATATATGGTTTTAAAAGCGATTTGCATGCGGAGTTTTTGCCTTTGAATTGTAAGCCAGTCTATCTTAGGCATGCGTTAATGGATCCCGCATATCGTTTTCAAGCTTGATTATCGAGTTGATTATTTAGTAAATGCATTGGACGTAGGCGATTTATTAACTTGTGCTAATAAAGGCTAAAGCCAAGGGAATTGGTCTCTTATAATTGTTAATTTATGTTTTAGTCCCTTGAATTTTATAAAAATTTAATTCAATATGATATATATAGTAAAATTGTATTTTGACGTCCAAAATAATAAAATTATAATAATTTAAATTAATACAATAATAAAAGACACTGTACACCCTGAAAAGGTCATTTGACTTCCCTTTTTTGGTGATATTTGGAAGCAACCAACCATTGCAGTTCTTGAATTTCATGTTAGCAACGCTTTCCTCTGCTTCAAAAAACTGTCTCACTAGTTCATGATCTAAATTCCTTCAATCGTTTGACCCAGAGTGATAGGTAATTTAATCAATTTGTCAAATTAGTAACAAAAGATTTTATTTTATTAAAAGCAATTCATTATTCAATTTGTAAGTACAAAACTTTGACTTGTGGATTCATCTCTCAATTCCGGTGCTGACTCATCAAATATAATTCATGTGAATATTACATTGACGGATTTCCATTTTACATCACTAACCTGCTTTACGTATCACAAGCGTTGCCGGCTTAATTATAACCATGTGGGCCCCTCCTCCTCTTATTTTAAACCCCCCCCAGATTGGGTCCTATACATATACACTAAAGACAAACATAATCTCTTCATCAAGTCTGTCAAGGCAGACTTGTCTTGTATAAAAATGAAACTCGAGTTTTGAATCTGATTGCAAGAATCCATACTTCATTCACGTGGACTGCAACCTATATATGTAAACCCTCATGTGATGAACACATGAAGTATGAAACAAAAAACCGGGGGGGGGGGATTCTACAAAATAGAAATGGGCAATCTATCATAAAAACACGTTGTGAACGGCAACTCATATTTGGATACAGCTTTACACCCACAATCTTTACTTCTAAATGCCATATAAAAACCATCCCATCCAACATTATGCAATATATAATATTCATCATGACGGCAACATTAGCCAATAGGTGGAAACTGGAAACCAGAAATAGGAAAACTAAAAACTCACATCACATGACCATGACCGTGCTTGGATGAAACAATCATCTTGTTTTCAGGGTAACTTTGTCAGTTCAGGCTCATCCAGGACATAAAATTCCGACAGAGGATCTCATCTGTGCTCATTTGCTGCTTCTAAGTTCTAACCATAAACAAGAATGATTGGAGAAAATAGAATACTAGAGATGATCATGATGCCACCATAGATCATGCTGCTATTGTTAGATTTGTCTAGAAATTAAGTTGACAAGTTGAAAATTTCATCTTGGTTGGTGGCCAACTTATTGAAAATTTCATCTTGGTTGGTGGCCAAACTTTGAACATGTGAATTTCATATTTGGTGGCTAACTTGTACACATTGGAAAATTCTTTGGTAGGTGACCAAACTTTAAACATATTGTTGGTGGAGGGTGATGTCAAATGCAAATTTCTTGGTGGAGTTGTTTGATGGATCCGGTCATTTTGGCATGTGGCAAGGCGAGGTGTTAGACGCTTTATTCCAACAAGGTCTAGACATCGCCATTGAGGAATAAAAGCCCGAATATATGGAGGAGAAAGAATGGGTAACAATCAATCGTTTGGCGTGCAGCACGATTCGATCTTGTCTTTCCAAGGAGCATAAGTATGGCTATAAGAACGAGACTTCTGCAAGTAAGATGTGGAAAGCTTTGGAAGAAAAATTCCTGAAGAAAAGCTCTCAGAATCGGCTCCACATAAAGAAAAGATTGTTCAGATTTGATTATCAACCAGGCACCAGTATGAATGAACATATCACTGCATTCAATGAGCTAGTGGAAGACTTATTGGGCATGGATGAAACCTTCAAAGATAAAGATTTGGTTTTGATGTTGTTTTCATCTCTTCCAGATGAATTTGAGCACCTTGAGACAACGTTACTTCATGGTAAGGATAATGTTACCCTTAAAGATGTAACTGTTGCTTTGTATTGTTATGAACTCAGGAAGAAAACCAAGAAGGAAAGCAAGTACGAAACAGCAGAGGCCATGGTGGCAAGAGGTCGCTCGAAAAGTCAAAAGCGAAAGTGGAGAGGGAGATCAAAGTCGAAGTCCAGACTGGGAAAAGATGAATGTGCCTTTTGTCATGAGAAAGGCCATTGGAAGAAAGATTGTCCGAAGCTGAAGAAGAAAGGAAAAGATGCTCCAGATACATGTGTTGCAGAGCATGATGCACATGACTCTGACATATCATTGGTTGCTTCATCAACAATATTCCATTCCGATGAGTGGATATTAGATTCGGGTTGCACCTATCATATGTCCCCTAATCGGGAGTGGTTCTCCGATTTAGTGGAACTAACTGCAAGAGTTGTTTATATGGGCAATGACAATGCCTGTAAAACTATTGGGATAGGTTTAATTCGATTGAAGAATCAAGATGGATCAACCAGAGTTCTGACGGATGTCCGATACGTGCCCAGTTTGAAGAAAAATCTCATCTCGTTGGGAGCCTTGGAATCCAAAGGCTCAGTAGTCACTATGAGAGATGGAGTTTTAAAAGTCACATATGGCGCACTTGTGATGATAAAGGGCATCAGGAAAAATAATTTGTATTACTACCAAGGTAGTACAATTATTGGAGCAGTTGCAGCAGCTTCCGGAGATGATGATTTGGACGCAACTCAGTTATGGCATATGTGGTTGGGACATGTTGGAGAGAAATCCTTGCAAATTCTAGCAAAGAAAGGATTGTTGAAAGGTGCAAAGGCTTGCAAATTGAACTTTTGCGAGCATTGTGTTCTGGGAAAGCAGAAGAGAGTGAAGTTTGGCACTACTATACATAATACAAAAGGTATTTTAGATTATATTCACTCAGATGTATGGGGTCCTTCAAAGACATCGTCTTTGGGAGGAAACTATTATTTTATAACTTTTGTAGATGACTTTTCCAGAAGAGTTTGGGTGTATTCGATGAAGTCTAAAGATGAAGTGCTTCAAATTTTCCTGAAATGGGAAAATATGATCGATAACCAGACTGGTAGAAAGATCAAACATCTTAGGACGAACAATTGAGGGGAATATAAAAGTGACACATTCTTTGACGTTTTCCATGAGTATGGTATTGTTCGACACTTCACTATTAGACATACACCACAACAGAATGGGATGGCAGAGCGTATGAATCGAACTATTGGAGAAAGTTCGATGTATGTTGTCTAATGCTGGGTTAGGCAAGGTATTTTGGGCTAAGGCTGTGACATATGATGGCAATCTCATCAATCGTCTGTTGTTATCAGCGATAGGAGGAAAAACACCATTAGAGGTATGGTCTGGAAAACCTGCTACTGATTATGATTCCTTACATGTATTTGGATCCACTGCTTATTATCATGTGAAGGAATACAAGCTTGATCCGAGAGCAAAGAAGGCTCTCTTTATGGGAATCACCCATGGAGTGAAGGGATTCCGCCTTTGGTGTTTAGACACCAAGAAGATAATTTTGTAGCAGAGATGTTACCTTTGATGAATCTGCCCTAGTAAAGAAGGTAACAAGTGAAGCTGTCCAGACAAGTAGTACTCCGCAGCAGGTGGATCATACTCCAAAACAGGTGGAGTTTCAGCAGACGATGATCCCAGAAGTTGATGCAACTTATTTTTCAACTCCAATAGAAGAATCAGAAGATGAAGAGGTTCAAACCCAAGAACCATTGGAGACACCAGAACCACTTGCGGTTACAAAGCCAATGAGATAAATTTGTAGACCTGCTCGATTTGTTGATATGGTGGCCTATGCTCTTCCAGTTGTTGATGATGATATCCCTATCACTTACCAAGAAGCAATACAAAGCTTGGAAAGTGATAAGTGGAAAAGTGCCATGGATGAAGAAATGCAATCTCTCCAAAAGAACAACACTTGGAAACTGGCACAATTACCGAAAGGTAAAAGAGCCATTGGATGCAAGTGGGTATTTGTAAAGAAAGATGGATCTCATAGCAAGAAAGATGTTCGCTACAAGGCACGGTTGGTAGCTAAAGACTACGCTCAAAAGAAGGGAATCGACTACAATGAAGTATTTTCTCCTGTTGTGAAGCATTCCTCCATTAGAATATTGTTGGCCTTGGTAGCACAATTGAATTTGGAGCTAACTCAACTTGATGTAAATACGGCTTTCTTGCACGGTGATTTAGAAGAGTAGATCTATATGAATCAGCCAGAAGGATACAAAGATGGTGGTTGTGAGAAATGGGTTTGTAAGCTGAACAAATCACTATATGGATTGAAACAATCTCCTAGGCAGTGGTACAAGCGATTTGATAGCTTTATGAGGAGGCAAAAGTATACTAGAAGCAAATATGATCATTGTGTGTATTTGCAAAAGCTCAAAGATGGATCTTTCATGTATCTTCTCTTGTACGTTGACGATATATTGATCGCTTCGAAGAGTCAAAAGGATATAGACAAATTAAATGCTCAGTTGAATCAAGAGTTTGAGATGAAAGATCTAGGTGAGGCCAAGAAGATTCTTGGTATGGAGATAAGTAAAGATAGACAGAGAGAGAAGCTTTGTTTAACACAGAAGCAGTATCTGAGAAAGGTATTATAATGTTTTGGCATGAATGAAAATACCAAATATGTAAGTATCCCATTGGCTTCTCATTTGAAACTTAGTTCTCAATTATCTCCTAAAACTAACGAAGAACGAGTGTATATGGCAAAAGTTTCATATGCTAATACAGTTGGGAGCTTGATGTATGCAATGGTGTGTACGCGTCCTGATATTTCACAAGCAGTCGGAGTTGTGAGCAGGTACATGTATGATCCTGGAGAAGGAAATTGGCAAGCTGTGAAATGGATTCTACGGTATCTCCAACAAACCGTGGATGTTGGTTTAGTTTTTGAACAGGATGAAGCACTTGGTCAGTGTGTGGTTGGATATGCTGATTCTGATTATGCTGGTGATTTGGATAAGCGTCGATCAACTACTGGGTATTTGTTTACTCTTGCTAAAGCCCCAGTAAGTTGAAAGTCTACATTGCAATCTACTGTGGCCTTGTCTACTATAGAGGCAAAATACATAGCAGTTTCAGAGGCTGTAAAGGAAGCAATTTGGCTTAACGGGTTGATGGAAGACTTGGGAGTTGTTCAAAGTCACATTAGTCTCTATTGTGACAGTCAGAGCGCTATTCACTTAGCGAAAAATCAAGTCTACCATTCAAGGACTAAGCATATCGACGTGAGGTATCACTTTGTGCGGGAGATATTTGAAGAATGAAAGATTCTACTTCAGAAAATTGCGACATCAGAAAATCCTGCAGATATAATGACCAAGGTGGTAACAGTAATCAAGTTCAATCATTGTTTGAACTTGATTAACATCCTGAAAGTATGAACACCTTCGGGTGTGTGGCGCTTGTGAGCGCAATTAGAGGCACTACAAATTTGGGGAGTTGAAGAAGTTGAGTAGGCTTGGTAATTTTAAGCCAAGGTGGAGATTTGTTAGATTTGTCTAGAAATTAAGTTGACAAGTTAGAAATTTCATCTTGGTTGGTGGCCAACTTATTGGAAATTTCATCTTGGTTGGTGGCCAAACTTTGAACATGTGAATTTCATATTTGGTGTCTAACTTGTACACATTGGAAAATTCTTTGGTAGGTGGCCAAACTTTAAACATATTGTTCTTAAAACTCAACTATAAATAGGCCTAAGTATTTCCATTAGAAATCATCCCAAAAACAAGTTCTCTCTTCCTCTTGTATTCTTCATTCTCCCACTTTGGGAATTCTAAAGAATTTCATTTGTTGTAATATTGGCGATATAGTGAAGTTATCATCCGGTGTGGTGCCCGATGAGTAGACGATATTCTCGTCGAACCTCGTAAATTTGGTGTGTTCTCTCCTTTATTGTTTTTATTCGGTTCTTTTCCATTGTGTTTCAATATTCAATAGTTTGACAGGTTTATCCGCTGTGCAACCTTTGGTAGTTTTAATCTTGACATTTTTGGTCAATTTTAAAACTACGTTCGTGTGGGAAATAACCTGTTTTCCCCAACAACTATAAGTTATATTAACAAACTAAGGTTCAGAAACACTACATCGAAACAACCACAAAGCATAACCCGATCGATGGACAAACATATCATACATCATCTACATTTTTCTGTTTTTGTTTTTTAAGTAAAGTAAATCATTGAATTTGTTTAAGAAGTAGAACTAATGCATTAATAAACCCAGCAACTAACTGTGAGTTCTGAGTCTGACCGCTACCTGGCATAAAAAATCTGGTTCAACAAACAGTCCAAGGAATTTGCAAAGATAATTTATGGAAGAAACTTTTAAAGCTATGTGCAAACTACATTTTATTGATAAACTTCACTTGTATATAACATAAATCATTCCATCTTCATAACTACAATATTCACATATAGAGGAATTATAGACAAGAAAAAAAAATCAAAGACTACAAACTGAAAGCTCTTACAACATCAATGTAGTTGCAGCTGTGCACTCTTACAGGCACGTGCCTGAAAATGAAAACAACCAGCAGATGCATTTTCATTACCAGTCAAAGCTCAAACGCTAGCAGTGCATTATCAATAAGCAGGGATAATGCCAGTCACTGGCATTCCATAGCAAGGTTTAGTTTTTATAGGACACTTCCCCGAGATTAAGCAACAGTACCTAACAAAATTGTGGTCTTATCATCAGCTTTCCGAAAGCATGCTATCACCTCTACCCCCAAGACCATTGGTGCAGCTTTCCCTGAAATATGCCGAATGGAATTCAAATTCAAAAGAGATGAATAAATAAAAAAGGTGATGCAAGCATACCCAAAACTAAAAACAGAATGAACAACGCATAACATGCTAATTTTGATACTACACATGCACTCTGTGATGTTTCCTTGCTAACTAGTTTCACACAAGGTTGCTCACAACCCAAATGAAAAATGATCAATAAAGAAGGTAATTCCAGATCATTCATACCCGTCACCAAAAGATATCGAGAGTAATTTCTTTGCTCAAAACCTTTAAATTAAAAATGGTATAACAGTTAATAAGTGAATACCAACTAACAGATTAAAACAATTCTCATATGGACATGAACAATTCGAATATCAAACCGTTTTCTAGCGAATTAATCAACATCTTCCTGTAAATCCAACAAATAAGAAATTTTTACCTGCACAGAGCAGGAAGCGGACATCAGAAAGAGTTCATCTCCAGACAGTAAGTCCTTCTCTTAACCAGCATCTTAGTTGCAGTCCGATAAGGCTCTTCAAAAGCAGTTGATAACCAAGAAGCATCAGAAATATCTTTTTTCGAAGCAGATTGTTCAGTAGGCCTTATAACTACCAAAGTAGCACCTTTTAAAACGATCCCATCACGCAATTCCAAATGAGGAGCATACCAAAGCCTCATATTCAATGCGGGAACCAGCGTCCTTTTTAAAGCCGAAGAAGCCGATAATGGCTTCACTCTCAACTCCTCAAGCTGATCACCGTTCATACAAAGCACCCCTTGTCCATCCGCATTAGTTAAAAGCAAGCTATCCAGCGTCTTATGCTCTGCAATTATAGATTGAAGCAAATAATGTCTTGCTGATGCTGCGATTAACGAGCTAATAGGCCAAACAACCCTTAGTTTCAAGCCTCCATTGGTATAAAATGACTCGGGGATACTTCCGTTATCATCGCCGTTGTTGATATTATTATTGATGCTGAATCCATACATATGGTTAATCAGCTTTCATTTATTTTTTCTGGGTTCAAATCAAATCATTCTCAGTATTTGTAAGGTTTGACCACACTTTTGAATAGTTCGAAGTGAAACAATTAACTCTTCATATCTTCTAATTGTCTTTAAATTTTCTTTCTTTTCTATTATTTAAATTTTCATTGGTTTTATTTACATTCAAACTCAATTCCTCGCTGCAGCTGTAAATTAATTTGGTGGTTTGCAGTCTGGATTAATATCGGGTACCTTCTAAACTAAATTCAATGAAATCCAAATCTAATTGTTTGTCTACTGACATTTCTTCTTAATATATTACATTTAGGCTACCTTTGAATGCGTTTCTTTTGCATTTGATCAGTGACCGTCTTCTGCAAAAGTTTGTTCTTTTATGATCATCACAGCAAAGGCTCTGTAGTCTATCTCAATCTTCATAAAAAGGAAAAACATTAACAAAAGCTAGCACACTTCGAATTAAAGGTAACTTTCTCAAATCTGATATGTAAATTTACATATAGCCTATCCTAGGGGGTAATGGAAATTTATCTGAAACCATGAGCTTGGTGTGCAACATGGGTAAACATACGAGGGGAAATATGGTGGTTATTTCGTGGGACTGGGTCAATCATGTTCGACCTTGGAGAGAGAATCCTGCTGGCTGAAGAGTAAGGTGCCAATTAAATGTCATATAGATGGTCTGCCCAGGACTCTTTCATAAGGCCAACAAACTAAGCATAGGCTTTATGAAATGTTGTGAGTTGGTTTTTCTTTTTCCCCGCTTTTTGGGCCAAGATCAAGAATTCTTTGTCCTTGCTAAAATTAAAAACCCTACTCAATCCATATTATTAGATCAATTAGAAGTAGGGTGGTATATTAATTTGCAGATTTAGGAGAATTTCTAGTGAATCTATCATTAGAATTTGATACATCAGATGTTTTATAATAGCTCTCCGTTATCCTTTTCTAAGACCGTAATTAGTTGAACGTATTGAAAGCTACATGAACCCCATTGTTTGGTGCACTGACCAAGATCGTCCACCTCTAAACCCATGTCGCGGGTTTGAGCAGCAGGAGTTGCCTGCCCGTGGTGTGTGTGGCAAAAAGTTTTGCTCCTGTAGGTGTGAGTTGTACCAATCGAAAAAAAAAATGGAAATTGAAAGATGTATTCCTTTTCTTTGGGATTAAGTTTGAAAGGTGAAGAAGTATGGCTGTCGTGGCCTTCCCATTGGCCACAAAAGCTGGACTATTTTTGCTTTTCTTTTCCATCAGTGGAGTTCTTTAGTTGCCAGTGGAATGCAGTGGATTTCTGGTAAGCATGTGAATGTTTCATACCTTGGAAAGGCTCTTGCAGCGGTGTAATATCCAAGGAATCATGAAATAGACATGGGACATTGAAAGGTAGCTATTTGGATGAAATGACAAAGGGTTTTCAGTATGGTAGCTGATGCATGCATAAGCAACCACATCTTTTCCTTGATTTGCATTCAAACCTACCCATGTTGAAGACAAGTGGAATCAAATCAAATTATCTATAGACTGCTGAATATATCCTTATGAGATGAGTCATGTTTTTGTAACCCCTCAGACCGATGCGGGTAACCCGATCCGATCTGTGGTGTCACATTAGGGCCACCAGAGCGACCCGCTATAAAATTTTCGGAAAATTTAAAACTTTTGTCAAAACATGTAACTCATAAAATGATTTATGAATACAAAATAAAATTTATCAGTATTCAGAAATAAAACAGATATTCAGACTCATATATATAAAACAAAATATAATTACATGCCCCCTAATCACATGTACCATACTCTGCAAGCAACGCTGGAAGAACTTCTTCACTGATATCGATAGATGCACTGGTATGATTCTTTTAACCTGAAAATGTGAGTAACAGAGTGAGCTTTGGAAAGCTCAGTAATACAGAACTACCAGATGATGCTGAAGAACGTGCATATACAGATAAACATGTATTTCCTTATCGGTTCAGACATCTACAGATCTTTATCCTGAGCGGAAATCCTACTGATATTTCAGGTAGTAACAGGCAGTGAGCTTTCAATTCAGAGAAATATTTCGGATGACTGAGTTCAGGAGATCATAATAGGTTATCTAGTGTGTTCCCGTAAAAATAAGTGAAAGATACATATAAAATATTTCAGTAAAATCGGTTTATGTAACATGTATTAAAAATATGAACACTACCCCCATCCGTCAAGTCCAAAATGTGTAGGTTCCCCAGAACCATACACCCACCGTCAAGTCCAGTAAGGCCCTGAGCACAAAGCCGAGGAGCCAGTAAGGCCCTGAGCACAAAGCTGAGGAGCCTCCAGGTATGCTTCCTCCAACAATATTCCCCAAATAAAACATGTTCCGTCTGTAAACGGATATATCAAAAATCAAAACATAATTCAGGTCAAATATCATAATAGAATTCAGGTCAAGTATCATATCAGAATCCAGGTCAGGTATCATAACAGAATTCAAATCAGAAATCAGATAAAATATTCATGTGATTAGGGAACACACTAGAGTTTATAGATATTATTCAGAGGTACTGGATAATCTTATCAGGCAGAGAAACATGGATCTTCAATATACTGATAAAATGTCAGAATTTCGAATTACTATTGGAAGAGTTCAATAACTGACGGAATCATCAGTTATTCAGAATCATTTACGTCTGAGTTACTTATGTTTTCAGATATGACCAAAGTGATTTGAGTTGATAAAGAAGAACGAAGATTCAAGACCTTTACAATCTATGTCGATTGATCGGATTATCAAAATAACTCAAACTGAACAACTCCCATAACTAATCCATGTTGACCAGTCCATTCTTTGTCCTTCCATGTATTCACTCTTTAATACCAACAATTATTGTCCATAAATCCTCTGTTGAGTCATTGCTGAATGGATCTTCCAATGGTCTTTATTCCATTTCCACGCTTCAACGATATCAGGAAATGTTGACGTACTTGATTTGTGGTACATAACCCATAGGGATGATACACTATGTAAACTCATCAAATTTTCCAAACTTATCCAAATCACTTACTTAATCCTCAGTCATTGAGGTTACTTAGTTCATTTAGCAGTCAAGTTCATTCAGTTACTTCGGGGTTTTCCAAAGTAATTCAGACGTTTCTGAATTTTGGATACATATTGTACTTCCTTTCAGTTCACTTTAGTCATATAATAAGTCCTTCTGGTATTCGTGGTTGATTTATCTCACGAATATCCACTTCTTAGTACTGAATGCGCTCTAGAGTTGAACTGAGCTAAGTACTTCCAAAATTATCATCGATCCAAACTTGAGAAAATGAGCACGCATTCAAGTGATATATATGCCATTCAGGTATTGACATAACATTTGGGTTGATCTACTCACTTAAATTGTGTTTCATTACTTTTAAGAGTAGTACAACACCTATGTTTATTTGAATTCCTTAATTAACCCAAGACATTTACTTAGTCTAGACCATAAGGGCATTTTGGTCATTTTTTGTGCTTAGTTTTATTCAATTCATTTCATAGCTCGAGGATATCCAATCATTCCTGAGCTTGGTGATATTCTTGGGTCATTTCCATTCCACGGGTATTTTGGTCATTTTATAGATCTAGTGTATTACAATCATTTCCTTTCGTCCAATCCTATTATCAAATTCAAACTTATCATTTATTTCAGTCCTTTCGAACAATTCTATAATAAAAAGCACCATCGATAAATTATTCTTCAGGTATTTACTCATAACTCGGAGATTTAGGGATTATCAGGAATTTGTTGTATAAACGTGTAACTTAACGATGAAACTAGTAATTCATCGATTTAGGCATGACTTCTTGAGTACTTTTCCATTCAGGGTCAATTCGGACTACTTTTCCCTCTCATGGGTAATTTCGTAATTTCTTAACCATATAATTTCGGTATTAAAACTCTTAACAAAGATAACTATAATTAAGAGATTCCAGGGTTAATCACTTTCTTGGATAATCTCTAAACTTTAAATTATTCCTTATCAACTTCTAGTATCTTATACAAGCCATCATGGGTCTAGAAATCGATTATCCATATTTCCTAAGCAAAACTAGTATTTTTCATACACATCAATAGTTTCATCATATCAATATGGCTTTACAAACTTATTATCCAACTTCCAGGGTCAATTCTTGTTTTTTTTACAATATAAGGGTATTTTCGTAATTTTACCAAATCGAAGTATTCTCATAAATTATCATCCAAGTACCTTTAATGAGAGAAATTATAATTTACAAATTCAGGACTGATTCCTTTATCACTCAATCACAGAACTTGTAATTCAATAGAGTCTTAACTAATTTATAACTTAAACCGTATTCGATTCGAATCCATCCATAATCAAACAGGCATAATAGACCAATCATATACATTCATGCATTTATCCATTATCAACATGTTCCACAAAGCATAAAGAGGTAGTAATGTATTACCTCGATTTTTGTGCCAAATTGATCGACCATTTAAACTCCATTCGAACACCATCTATCTTGAATTCAACTTCCAATAATTCCTCGAATACATAACAATAGAGATTTCATAAAAAACAGAGCTTAATTCTGAAAAACGGGTTGAATCGGGTGATTAATCCGTCAAAAACAGCTTACTGAGTTTGAATTTGATGAAATGGAATACGGATTCGGATTCAGAACGTCGAAAAACATAAAATATGACTTTTCGAAAATTTTGACTTTTTGGTCAAAGTCAACAGGTTTGACTGACAATTTCAAGGCTTTCGGGTTCAAATTTGGCAAAACGGACTGCAGAATTGAACTCAAGACGTCAAAAAAGTCATAAATGGTATACCTTGAAAAAGTCAACGGTCAGTCAACGCCCGGTCAACGTCGCTCAAAGGTCCGGTCAACAGCGGTTAACGGTGGTCAACAGCGGTCAACGCGATCAACAGTCAACGGTCAAGGTCGGTCAACGGTTCAACGCGTCGGGTTGGGTCGAACCAGGCTG